CTCTGTTTTTTTATCATATCTAATTAAAACCATTTAAAATCAAATAATAAAATAATTATTAGTTATATAAAACACTTTTAAATAAATAATAATATAAAGCAGTTATGTTATCTCATAAAAAATTCAAATTCATCCAAATCCTAATATTATTTAACTATATCATTTATTTAATATTATTTCTAAATAAAATAAAGAAATAATAATAAATAAAATATTCTATCAAAGGAATACAAATTTAATTTATTTAAATTTAAATAATAAAATAATCTTTTATAATATAATTTAAAATAATCTCATTATCTTAAATTAACATCTATAGTAAAAATCTCGATCATTCTTATACATTCTTATTGTGCTACCTTATAGGTTCAGTTAATTTTAGCAGTAGATAATAATCACATTTGATCATACAAGTCATAAGTGGCCTCTTGCAAGACATTATGACTATCAAGTTAAATGAAAAGCTTATGATTTGAGACGACCTTATTGTATCTAATATAATAATCATTTTATCTTGCGATATCTTGATAGGATATAAGATATAGAAAATGTCAACCTTATATCACTCTATCTTCATTTTCTCGATACCCAATTAAAATGACTAAACAAATGATATTGATCTCTATCAACTCATTGAAACACAACCATGCATTTTTCAATTTCAATCTTTGAGGTGCGAGATATTATTTGCCTTGCTATGTGTTCTGATTTTGTATTTGAACCCAAAAAAAGGATATGAAATTGGTTGTTGTTGATGAGACACATGAGAGCAAGTGTACGCATGCATCTCACGCGCGAAAGATCAAACGGTTGGAATCCTTCCCGACAGCGGCTGAGGCTCCTTGAGTTAAAGATAAATGCCTAGGATTTCTTGATCATGGGTCGTTGGATCATCCTAGATCTGACCACTGTCGTAATGCGACGACTAAGAGGTAAGTATGAAACTCTATTCATCTTCTAATATGGTTTTTGGATCATCCCATATCCAACGACTGATAGCTTTGATGGCTGATAGAACAATATGAAACCCTATGTTCTGATGGGTTCTTTCACGTGGGTTCTCAGCATTTTGGGCATGACGAGTCTTGTAACGTATTTGGGGGTCATTGTTGTATTTAGTTTTGGGATGTAATAATAGAAACATAAAAATATTAATATTTTATTTTAGTATATATATTTAATAGTTAATATAAAAATAATAACTAAAAATAATAATAATAATTAGAAAGACCTGGACAAAATTAGATACCTACAATACACGATACATACAATTAATATGAACATGCAAGAGGCTCATGATACCACTTTTGGAAATCGAGGCAAGGATAACACAACTAAAATTTAAAAATACCTCGATCAATCCTAAGATCTTATGCATATTATACTTTACAGTAAAATAAGTAATTAGATTACCGTAATCTCTAGTTCGGAAATCTTTGTCTTGTCTCTAGTTTTTTATCTTTAAAGTGTTGTCTTTCTGAAATATGACTACCTATACAAGTATGCACATGCGATTGAATCAAGAACGATTAACGAAATGCTAATTCCAGTTTTCTGAAAACTATATTTATGTGGTTTTGAATTTTGACGCTTAAGAAGATTAACCTCTTACCCTAAGAGCGCGCACGCGCGCACTCACATATATATATATATATATATATATATATATATATATAATATTTTAAATTAATCATATGTTTTTTAAATTAAATAATACCTCGATCAATTCTAAGATCTCATGTATATCATACTAACTACAGTCTAGTTTGGAAGTCCTTGTCTTGTCTCTAGTTTTTTTTATCTTTAAAGTGTTGTCTTTCTAAAATATGACTACTCTATACAAGTATGCACATGCGATTGAATCAATAACGATTAACGGAATGCTAGTTCCAGTTTTCTGAAAACTATATTTATGTGGTTTTGAATTTTGGTGACTTAAGAAGATTAGCCCCTTACCCTAAGCGCGCATATATATATATATAATATTTTTAAATTAATCATATGTTTTTTAAATTAAATAATAACATAATTATTATTTATCTAAAACATTTTTAAATAAATAATATTATAATCAGATCTCTTACCATATAAGAAATTAAAATGCATCCAAATCCTAATATTATTTAACTATCATTTATTTAATATTATTTCTAAATAAAATAAAGAAATAATAATAATAATAATAACAAAATATTCCATTAAAAGATTATGCATTTAACTTTTTTAAATTCGAATAATAAACAATCTTTTATAATATAATTTAAAATAATCTTATTATCTTAAATTATTATTTATAGTGAACACCACAACTATTCTTATTCATTCTTAGCGTGCGAATTTCTTAAACCCCATCATAACCCCTTTTTGCCTTCCATCATCAAACCTTGCAAGAGTGGACTTGAAATAAAGTTTGGGAAAGTAGAACGTGGTTCTTACCTTGGTTTAAAGAGATAAACTAGAGATAAACTAAAGCTCCCATCTTTGCTCAAGTTTTCTAAGAAGGTAGGTGAAACCTTGGAAGAAGAAAATGACAAAGGAGAGTTGAGAAAATGAGGAAGAGAAAACATACATGAAATCAAATTCAGTTAAAGGATTTCAACTTTATTTTTGAACAAGGATATAATTGCTTCCTTTGTCCTTCCAATTTTGACTACAGATTAAAAACACCATTTTTATTCACTATTGGGCTTACCTCAAGCCCAAATCCTCTTTAATTTGGGTCAAGACTTCCTACAAGCTAATGAATTAAACCAATGCCCATCTCGGGTTAGTCTAATACTTCTAACCCAAGATTTGGGGTGTTAAAATAAAGTTCCTGGGCGGTTTTCAAATTCTCCTCATTCATGGCAACGGACCACCTTGTCATTTTTAGTTATATTTTATCATTTTTACAATAATAATTTCTAGTGGCTCTTTTTCTTGTAAAAGGTATCATGGCTACCAAGGTTTTTAGACTCTCGGTGCAGGTTTGTTTTTACCGGTCTTCTTCTCTGTCTTTTATTTTCCCTGAATACATAATTGATTATTTTCCCGATGTCAGTTCCTCTGTTCGTTTGTACAACACATTTTATTTTTGTACGTCACGGTTGGTTATCGTATATATGTGTCGGATGTGATTGTTGTTAAGGGCATATTGCTTTTTCTGTTAGCCATTTTGATTATTCTTCAAGTTTCTCTCCTCCATGTTTGATGTTCGAAGTCGTTGGTGTATTCAGTTTATGTTTGTCGTTGCTTCACTTGTTAATGGTTTTGTTTATTAGGCTATCTCTAAGCGATCATTAGTATATTTTATTTTTGATAGTCACGATTGTATTTGTTAAGTCTGTACTTGATAAGACGTTTATTGATACGGCTATCGATAACTGAAATAATATGGTTATTTTAAAAAAAAAGATATATATGTCCCTCAAGATGTTGCATATTAGCTTATTTCAGAAGCAACATGGTCAATACATTTGCACGTGCGGATAATATCTAACTCGCTAACCAACAGCCAGAAAAATTATCGATAGACCTGGTTCACCATGTTATTCATAGTTCTAATTAATAATATTTGTGCATCTTATATTTTTCTAAGGTGAATCTTCATCTGTTTCTTACATTTAAATACGAAATGAGTAGTTATTTGAAAGTTATTTTAAAATTTGTGGATCTCATTGACTAGGACCGTAGATGACGTGGTGAGCCAGATTCATCAAATAATTTGTCAACCTGTTGGGACAAATTTGAGACTGTGAAAGTTGAACGATCATAACAAAGGTGATCTAAGTGACGTGTTAATTTAAAATTAAGTTTTCCTTTCTTTTCTAAGGTATACAAGTAGTCCTCAATTATAAGGTGTTGTTTTGTTAATTCTTTCAATATTAAATTTGCAAAATAGTACTTTCGTAATAGGACGATACTTTGTTAAGTATCTTGACTATTAAAAGTTATAAAATAATCATTTGACTATTCATATGGTTCAAACTAATCTTTTTTTCCATTAAAAAGATGAATGTTATATGAGTTTGACATTAACCTACTGACTTAAATATGATAAAATTATATTTTAATGATGTCTACCAGAACTGTTGTTACTTTCAATTATTGGCTTGATGACATAATATTTCAAGTACTAGCTTGATGGTACAATGTAAAGAAGAGTCAATTAATAAAATATAGCTCAAACAGTTCTGAAATTATATTTTATTATATCATAGTTAATATGTTAATGTCTAGCTCAGATGGTCTCAAATATTTTAATGAAAATAAATAAGTTTAGAACATATGAATAATCGGGTGATAATTTTATAACTTTTAATAGTTTAATGATTCAACAAAACATCGTCATATAATTAAAAGACCATTTTTAACTTTTTGTAATCAATAGACTTAACAAAAAAAAAAAACACCTTATAATCTAAAGCTATTTATGTATTTTACTCTTTTTTTGGGGGGCAAAGGTCCGAGAGTCCGAATTTTGGGACCCATATGTATCCACCTTAACGGCGTCTGAAATCCGAACGGGTAGCTGCGGTTAGTTATCATAAATAACATGGTTAAAATGCATTAGAAGTTCTTTTATTATATCAGAAAGTTTGTTTTAATCTATCTATTACAAAAAGAAATATTTTAGTCCTGCTATTAAACTTAAATGTTCATTTTAGTCCTTTACTGTAAAAGGAATATTTAGATCATGTATGTTTGAAGCATGAATATTTTAGTTCAAAATTTTAAGCTATAATTGGTTGACTTAAAGATTGTTTTTAAAGTCCTTTTAAGTCCATGTTAATTTTGAAATTCAACACATTGATCACTCTTGAAAAAGGAAAGTAATTTATTCAATATAATTTTGAAAAAGAGTAAATATGAATGATCTACGATGATGTTGATACTTTTCCTTCCACGCGTCCATTTATGATTGGATATTTTTTGAAATATAATAGAGACTAAAATAACTTTTTAGATATAGTATAGGGACCTTTAGCCTAAATAAAAATTTCAGTTTCACCTTACTTTTATCGCAGGTAGGGCAAATCCCCCTCAGTTCCCTTTTCCCTCTTCTTTCGAATCTTAACACAGAAACAGTCGAATCTGCCTCTATCGCCGCCGCCTCAATGTCTGAGGTACTCTTCCCTTCCAATTCTCTCATTTTCCCCTCGTTATAGAATCCTGCGTCAAACTTCAATACATCTAATAATAGAATTATCTTGAACATCAATTCCCTGTAGTCAATCTAGTTTTTTTTTTTTTCATTTTTTCCGAATCGTTTCTTTTTTGCTCAATTCTCCAATTTATTATTGGTCAGTGGGAATAAATTTTGTAATTTTTTCTCAGTATTGCTTTATGAACATCTTTGCGGTGATTAACTTTGGTTCAGGTTGATAATAGAAACTCTTCTGCAGCGAAGCGTGCTAGAACCGATGGTATGTGTATTGATTTTTATGTTATTTTGTGCACTTTTCGATGTTTAATCTTGAAAATGTTGAATTTTTGTGGTTAAATTTGTAGGTAGTCGAAGGGAAGATGATTGGACATGTCCTAGTTGTGGGAATGTCAATTTTTCATTTAGAACTACTTGCAATATGCGCAATTGCACTCAACCCAGGCCATCTGTTCATAATTCAGTAAGTCTTTATGTTTATTACCCAATGTTGGTGTTCAAAATGTTCCCTAGTTTTTAAAGTTGTCGATTTTTTAATTGCAAAAAGGCTGATAGGTTTTAATGATTAATGTTCGGATTGGAATTGGTTTTACTAATTACTGATGTTCAGACTGAAATTGTTTTTAACAGTATTAGTAATAGAAGAGCAGATTTTTAGAAATGTATGGCTTGGTAAGTTATTTTAATGAATTTAATACTTGGTTTTCAGCTGGTTTAAAGGAAAAAAGACCAGAATATATTATGTAATTCCCAATGTTTGCTTCGTTTTAGTCCCTCTAAATTCCTTTTTTTGGGAAAAAAGATTCCATTGGTAATAGAGTTGGTATAGACCGTTTCTAGTGTCTCTCTTTAGAAACTAACCCTTTGTAATTCTTTAATCCCATTATTTTTTTTAAAGATATAGTTGGTGAATTTTCCCTTGCAGAAATCTGCAGGCAAGCCTCTCCAAGCGCCACAGAGTTACTCGTCCTCTGCTCCTTATGTAGGTTTTGGACCATCTTCGGTGTATCTCGGTGTACCACCATATGGTTCTTCCCTTTTCAATGGTTCCCCTGTTCCTCCTTATGAAGCTCCTTTTTCTGGAGGATCGGCTTATCATTACAATTATGGTAATCGTCTTTCTGGTGGCAGTCCCTACCGGCAGCTGCATGTGCCTGCTGGACCACCCCCTTATTCTACTGGGTCAATGATAGGGAATGGTCTTGGTAACCTCCTCTGCGGTTTATAATTGTGATTACTTTTCCTGCTTTATTGTTTTTTTCCATATTTACGCTTGCAAGTTAAAATGATAACGAAGAACATGCATTGATCATAATTACTTGTCTGCATCCCAACCACCCAGACACGTAGTTGATTGAACTTAAGCATGATACTTATATATCATATCAGGAAGGTGCTAGTTTTTTTTTTAAAAAAAAAGATAATTTTTTTTAAAAAAAAAAAGATAATTTTTTTCCAGGTGGGATGTATGGCGTGCCCCCTTTGATGGACCGGTATGGAATGGGGTTGCCAGTGGCCCCTCCTCCAATGGTATGTTGAGATGCTTAATGCTAGTTTGGGATCATTATATGTTAGGAATGTGAAATTTAGATTGCTAGCCTAATAATATATTGTATCACTTCTCTGTGATTTAATCGCATGTTTTCTAGGCTTGGGAAATTGGGATTGTGTTCTTGATTTAGTTAATGTCTAGGCAGTTAACAATTCTGTATTGAGCATGCATCCTTACGTGCATTTTCGTTTAGAAGCAGTCAGCCAAAGCATGGATTTCCATCCAATAGGAATTCTCTGGATTGGTTCAGAATTTGAATATTCTACCACCTAATATTTTGCGTTTTGATGGGACTAGAGTACCTTATATATGAGTTCCGGTTTATTATGATATAATTACACTTTTATCCTACAGGGACCAAGGCCAGGATTTTTTCCAGATGATAAATTTCACAAAAAAGGTGCAAGTATGTCACCTATACTGTTATTGCTCAAAAGTTATTATCTGCACATTACAACAATTTTTTATGCAGTAATTTGATTCTATTTGAATCCTTGCCAGATGCTACTCGTGATGATGATTGGAAATGCCCAAACTGTGGGAACGTTAACTTCTCTTTCAGAACTGTCTGTAACATGCGGAAATGCAATACACCGAAGCCTAGATCTCAGGTTTTTGTCAATTTTATATTTAATAATGATGCAATATAGCTGCTCTTTTGTTTTCTTTTGGTACTTTGAAGACTAAAAATACATGAAATTCTGCATAATTTTTCTTTGATTATGAATCAATTTTTGATTTATGACAATTTTCTTTTGTGAATGCAGACTCCAGAATCAAATAAAAGTTCAAGTAAGTTCTAAATTTGAAAGCATTATGTTGTCATATGCATGAAATTTTATGCATATGTATTTCGTGCTTTTCAGAACAAAAGATGCCAGAGGGAAGCTGGAAGTGTGAGAAATGTAGCAATATTAACTATCCATTCAGGACTAAATGCAACAGACAAAATTGTGGAGCTGAGAAACCAGCCGAATCAAAGAAGTCCCCCACACCAATTGCAAACGAGAATGATCAGGTTCGTGATCTGATGCATTTTCTTTTTCATCTAGTTTCTTATTTGAAGTTATTGTTTCTGGTGACCACATTTGTACATGTTAAGAATTCAATATGCTTTCAATACTTCAAACTATTCCCAGTTAAAGATTCTTTCAGGTTATCTGAGTGTATTTTGAACTGTTGTTTTTACTATAGTTTTTTGCCTTTCTATAGTAAAGAGATTCTTGAAGTTTATTGTTTGACTGAAGTTTCTTTTTGTCCTTTCCGTTGATTTGCAATTTTGTCTACTGTTCCAGTGAGTACTAGGACATGTTTGAGGGTTGAGAACATCCAGAGTTATCGTCCACCATTGCTCAATATGGGTGTCTGAAAGACAGTCTTGTCGTCCTCGTTTTGCAGCGGTTGTAAAGTCTGTCTTGTCGTCCTCGTTTTGCAGCTGTTGTAAAGTTACTATTCGTTCTCATGATCAGTGTCCATTTTTTGTATTATGCTATGGTACTTGTGGTCTTTGTGGATCGTTGGTGCATTATGTGTCAGCCATCTTAATCTGGAAAATGTTTACAGGTTGGTTTTGTATTTTGCAATCAACTCAGCTATTCTAGTGAGCATGTTACTGTCAACTTAGATATATTGGTAGTCGGTAAAAACACTGCAAGTTGCACATTTCTTGGTTTCATTAAGTTCTGTATTGTCTGTGTTGGTTGTCATTATGCCAACCAAAATCTTCTATTAGGAGCATGGAAGTGCTCAACTTCCAATAGATAATTAGATCTATCGTCTGGCTTAGCCAGAAGTAGGAAAATTTCAGTGGTTTATGCACTATTGTTTGTTTTGCTTGTGAGGGTAAGTTACATTATATATCATTCAACTTTTAGTCACAACTTTCAAATAGATCATAAATCTTTGATGGAAACTTTAAGGATTAACAAATCATGTCATTTATACAAACACTATTAAATTTTTCAAATGAAAAAGAACCAAAACTCCTACTTCACATGTCAAGAAATTAATATATAGTTGGCATTTTAAATTAAAAAAATTAAGCTTTTCTCACAATAAATTACTAAAAAAAATAGTCTTTCAATTGTTTAAGAGTGAAATCATAATCAATTGAATCAATTTCTTAGTTCTTTCTATTTTATTCTTCACCACTCACACTTGATTATTATTACTACTAATTTTCAAACGGTACCTTATGAGTTATGCTGCAATTGTAACTTTGGTTTTGTATTTCAATTAGATTTTTTTTTCAATTGTTAGTATTTCATTTTCCAGTTAAATTAGGTAGAGAAGAAAGACAAACTTTTCTTCACTTTGTCAATTCTGTGATTGATCTGAGATACTGCAATTTGTTTTCAGTTTCTGAGAGGGAAACTTGATTCAAAGATTTGAAAAATTGTAATTTTTCTCATTTTGGGTACAAGAAGTATCATTATTTCAGTGCCCCTTGAAGATCTTCAAGAGATTGAAAGAGTGGTGAAGAATAATTTACAAATGTTGAAAAAATTGATTCAATTAGTTACAATTTCATTCTTCCACGATTGAAAAACTATTTAGTATGAGAAAAGCCTAAAAATTTTGTTGTTTAAAGTGCTAAATAGATATTAGTTTTCTGGTATGTAAACAAGCGTGAAGTGTGAATGTTGATTTAACATAATTTGTTAGTGTAAATGACTTCATTTGTTAATAGTTAAAGTTGAGTTATGTAATTTGTTGAGATTAAAGATTCATGATCTTCTTGGTTAAGCTTAGTGTCTTGTTGGTACGTTATATACTTTCATGTGTGTAAAAGATACTGTGGTGAACTGTGCTCTATGAAAGTATGCATTCTTCCTTTATCATTTGAGGGTGGTTCCGTTTGATCTTGATAAATTTCTGGTTTCTTGTTGGTTTCGATTTCAATATTTTTTGGTCATTCTAGATTGAATTAGCTGCCAGTCAAGTCCACCGAGATGGAATGGTTATAGTAACAAATTGGACTCCTATATATAGAAGTTATAGGGTTTGAATATGGAGAGTCATACTTTCCGGGGACAGCCTCGAAGGACCAATGAGTGTCCTAAGAGGACAAGACCAGCGTAAATTCATGTGATATGGCACTGGGAAATTAGAATACCCAGTCGGTTGGTTGGTCATGACATTGGTATGATTTGTATGCTGTGTAGGGTTTTGTTTGAGGACCCCTCCCTATAATAGTTGGCATATTCTGTTTGAAACTCGTGCTCTTTGAGAGGAGATAATTCACAAATATGAGTCTCGTAGATGAGTCATGAATCTTGTATCAGTTATATACTACTAGTCATTATGGTGTTTATCCATTGCAAGGTAAGATCCGTCATTCAATGGCTATTCACATATCAAGTATATTCCTGAACTGAGTTGCTATTCGAATGTGGATTCTTTGAGATCTGAATATTTATGACAATGACAGATAAGATCTTGATATGCATGTCTATTAAGATTTTGATTAGTCATGATCATAGCATGCATATATGTCAAAGAATCTATATTCAAATGCTCCTCACCTTAGTCTAGGAATACACTTGGTAATCTTTAATTCAATATTCTTCAGTAATTGATCGATACACTTGGCAATCTTTAATTCAAAGAACCTGCATTCAAGGATTTTATTTTGTGATGTCAATGCAAAAGCACTTAGAAATATGAATTCTTTCGACATTTGATTTTATCGGTTTTAAATTTAGGCGCCCAATAACCAAATATGATATTTTCACGCGTCACCATAATTTAGCAAAAATTGACGTTTATTTGTGACATTACGGAAATGTTTGTAGTATTTAAGGAACCAATCAGATAGAACTAATGTTGCACTAATTCATTTTTGGAAGATCAAAGTATTCAACATTTGCAGCAATATTTAACTTAAATCATCCCCGTCCCCTACTCCAAAATGACATTAAAGCAATTCGTTCTTGCACGCAATAATTAGAGTTATTTTGACTTTAGATATAAATAAAATAGAAACAAGAATTCCAAAATATGGGGATAGCATGTCCTACACTAGCAAAGACTTTTTCTTCTACACGTGAGCCCTGCCCGGTTGAAATTTGGGATTTGAAATCTGTGGCAGTTAATTAATCTGATGGGAATAAAAGCCATCATATGGAGCCCTAAGGAGCTGGAACTCTTGAAAATGGTTGTCGCCATCGCCGTGCAAGCTTGTCTGCACTAGGGGTTGAGCCGTCCTTTGTTGTTCCATCTGCCAGTTTTCAGACAAGGCATGTGGGAAAGAGAAACTCTCTGAAATTGCATTTGTTGTGGGCTGAGACATGCTGGTACCATTAACATGCATGGGGTAGGAAAGTGAACCGCGTTTCGGCGGCTCACAGGAAGTCCAGCGCTCATTTGACAGAAGAGAGAGAGCACGATGAAGATCTTGCGTCGTACCCATATTCGAAGCAGATGTGGATTCTTCTATACCTACCAAGAGTTCACAAAACTTGTATAAGCTTGTAAATCAGTTGAACTACGAGCAGCATCGCGAACTCGAGGGCATGCTGTTATGTTACTAGTCATTTAAAAGCAATTTTGATGAAATCTCCTTTCCTGGTAAGAAAAACAAAACAAACCTTGGTTGAGAACCTCGGCGGTGCCGGTGGAATCATGACATTGTGTTGCAATGGAATTCAGTGGCTGATTGCCTGGCAGTTGCAGCTGCACATTGACATTTCCGGCTTTCGTAGTTGCATAACCTTTCAATTGAGAGGACCGGGAGTCGAATGTTCCTTCCCACATAAAATTTTCATTCGGTCTAGCATTATGAATAAATGGCACTTTATTCCAGGAAAAACTAATCAGTTGTTTTCCATCTGCACAGTCAGCGACACAACTTAAGTCATACGATATAATCGGCATAATTATTTTCAACCAAATTATCTAATAAAAAACCATATCAGATTTGAATATGAAACCAGTACCATATTCTGCAGATAAAGGCCCTGCAGCACTGAAGTGGACTGCTTCTGTCTGTGGTTTGCGCCGCCTTGCATTGTGGTCAGAAAGACGCCGGCGGCAGCTTCTCTTCTTTTCATCAAACTCCGACAGGCCATGGAACCTTTGACATCATGAATACCAATTATGATTTCAACATTCATAATGAGACAAGTTCAGCAATAAAGAATCAAATCACTACTATCAACAAAATTTACCTGCTACACTGCTGGCAGAACCGACGTTCCAGACCACCTATAATGACCTTAGGGCTCTTTGAATGACTTTCACAGATTCGGTGTTTCCGATGGTAATCCTTAGCTGAAGAAAGGTTGAGGTTACAGCCTTCAACTTGGCAACAAAGATGTGTACGCTGACAATTGAGTTTGGATCTCTTTTCTGGGGTAGGAGATGGTGCATGTGTTGCAGAATAAGATGAAGGCTTCGCATTGCTACCTGAAAAAACGTCCTCAGAGTATGTTTGCTTACCGAGCTTTAAACTGAGTAATGGCTCACCAGAGCCGACTGAAGCTTCAAATATTGGGAAGCTACCAGAGTGCTCAACCTTGGAGGCCTTTTTCTTTTTGCTAACATTATCTGGGATAGCTTCAAAAGCCTCCAAAGTAAATCTGGTCGCTTTTACCTCTCCAAAAGATGAAGAATTAATGGATGCCGATTTTAAACTTTTAGACGAAGAAGCACGGCCCAAATCCGAGCCAGAAACACCACTACCTCCAGCAGCAGCACCAGAAGAATAGAGAGATCCAGAGTCCATTCCTTCCTCTCCATCAATATCCCACTCCACCGGTATTAGCTTCCTTGGAAGTTCAGTCGGTGTCGCATTTAACATCATTAGGTTTTCCCACTCCCATTGCAACGGGGTTTTAGTGTTCCACTCCATCAGAGACATAGAACTCATAGAATAATTCGAACAATATCCTTCACATAAAAGCAAAGCAATTCGTCACCAAATTCTGAAATATAACCTCGAGGCTTGCTCAATTCATAAAGGAATTGAAACAAAAAGAATTTCAATCATGCTAAATTCAATAACCTTATATATAAAGCAGACTATTCTGGGAAACTATATCGATACATCATACATAGCATGTAAAACAACCGAAAAGCAAATCCTGCAATAACGAGTCCAAAACGTACCTCTAAATCTCACAGCATCAAAGCCAATCCTCTCTGTTTCTCAAACCTAGAGTGGTACAAATTAGAAAATTGTTAAACCCACCAAACAAAACAATCAAAACTTGAATAGCACAGAGGTTCAACTAAACAAACAATCATTCCTCAAGCAGAGCAAAACTTCTACGCAGATATCGATCTCGATCGTTCAGAAGTAGACTAGACAACTTAAGCAAAGATAAAAAGAAAAAGGTCATATATTAGACATTGGAAAATGAATAAGAATAGTAGTACAGCTTGTCTTCTACTACATTATTGCTAACACAAACATGTAGACACCATAATGCCGACCGATCTCTCGATATGATTCTTTTTTTTGTTGAAGAAATCTCGATATGATTCTTGTACTAATGTATGGATGGCATCACATCAACCGAGAGTAAAAACATACTACTGAACTGATCCATAAACCACCAACATCCGCAGTAAATTCAACTACCAAAACTCTAGGAATAATTTAACTTGCCTATCGACCACCGAAATTCCACAAATATCACGTTTTAACCGAGTGAGCTACTCGAAGACAACTCGAACTCATTCAATAATTCGCGTTGAATTATCTGGGCAATCTTTACAAAGTAGGTCCCTGGATGTGACCTACAACAACCTATCAACTACTGCACAAAGCAAAATTCAATGAAACCCTAATCTGCCATAAATTCAAACACCTCACAGCTACCACAACAACCCTTTTTTATTTACTTAACCCCACAGTGAAACATTAGAACCAAATAACATAATTTGGTCTCCTTTGCATATTATTTATCATATAGTTATTCCTTTTAAAGAGTTGATAAACTCCACTTAGGTTTCATTCCAGAAATATAAGGTGAGAATAAAAGATGCCTATTAAGTTTAACCCCCCAAAAAAAGTTACTATTTTTCTTCCATTTCCCCCAGAAAACAAGAAAAGGGAAGGAACAAAAACGAAGCAAGAGCGGGAAAAACTTCAAAAATCCACCCTTTTTCTCTCTCTAAAGTTGATACAAGCTCACATAAAAGTAGAACATATGAAGAAAATGATGTTTCAATCTCAGCCGCAAAAACAAAAACAATTTCCCTGTTTTTGGAAACTCCAGCACCTCATGATTGCTCTCTTTATTAATCAAAAAAGAAATCTCTATTTCATCTTTCCTTCTTTTGTTTAACGGCGTTTAGTGAAAACAAAGTGCAAAAAATATATATAGGGAAAAAAAGGGAAAGCGAAGTGAGATTGTTGCTTACCGATGGGGGTCAGAAGGGAAGGAGAAAAATTAAAGATGCTGAAAAGGAAAGGAGAAAGAGCACAGCTCACACGGCTGAATCTGAGCCTGAGACCGAGTCAGAGCCTTTCAGAGACTGTAAATGCAGGGGACAAACACCGAAAGAGATGGAGAGTGGGGGCAAAACAAATGAAAAGCCTGGCCTTTCTCAAAGTAATAATTCCCCTTTTATCTTTTTTATTTTTTTGTATAAACCTATTAACCCTTTTATTATTACATTATCTTAGGAATAATAATTTTTTAACAGAGTTTAAATTGTGATATATGTAATCTTAATGTATTTTTTAAAAAAGGTAAATAAATCAAATATTTGATCGTAATATAACAAAACGATGATAAGATTGTATTAGATTAAATTTTAAAAATATTTTAGAATAATTATTAGTTAAATTTTAATAAAAATATATAACAAATTTATACATTTAAATAATAAAAATTAGTATAAAAATAATATATATTTTAGATTCAAAATTTTATTGTCATGTATAATAAAGACTAAGGGTAAAAAAAACTCGACTCGACTCAAAAAATCAATTTTTTTACTCTATTCGACTTGAAAAAACTCAACTTGAATTGACTTCGAGTTACAATTTCATAAACTCGACTCGACTCAAAAAATTTCAAGTTCAAATCGAGTTGTAAAATGCAACTTGAATAACTTGAAAATTTTAATAATTAGTGGATTTATTTTTAAGTTTGAGTCGAGTCCTTGGACTTTGTATAATATGTGTATATCACATATAAAAAGATGAAGAAATATATTTATATAGTATATATGGTTATAAAAAGTCACTTAAATTGAAATCAAATAATATTATAATATTATAAATATTCACAATTAAGTTTAAATAGAACTCGAAAAACCGACTCGACTTGACTCGAAAAAATTTTAAATTAATTTCGAGTTATAAAATAAGACTCATCAACTTAAATAACTTAATTTTTTTTAATTTAATTTGATTCGACTTGATCTAACGTCAACCCTGACTTATTACGTGAGACACTTATTTAACGACGTGACTTGTACCTCTATTGTGGAGGTGCGAGCACATATTTATTTCGTGAACAATGACTGGATTTTATTAATAACAATAAATTAATGAATTAAAATTATAGAGAGCCTAAACCTAAAGAGAAAATAAGGACAATTATCACACAAAAAACACTCATACAAAAATAAACTCAATGATATGAAGTAAAATAAAATATTTCATTGATAATGAAGACCAGCATCAAAAGAATCTAGTAACATTCATAAAACTCTTTATATTTGTTGAACGAGACACTCTACGAAGTGATAAATGAACTAAATTGTAATACCATAAACCAGTATGCCACACAATCGATCGATAAGGACGCCACACAGAATCACTGAAGTGGTTAACCAATTTTTTTTTCTTTAAATTTTTCTTTATTTTAAAATGCTCTTTGTAGATACTCATGCTAAGATAATTCAAACAAAATATAAATGGAATAGTTTACATTAGGAGCTCTAAAAAAATAATAATTCAAATAATACAGACCATCGTTTAAAATAAGTTACGACTCGAATATATAATACGGGGTTTACAAATATACATGCCCTCTAAATATGAACTTGAGACGTACTCTGCACTAGTATAGTCTGGATAACTGTTGGCAAAAAGGGTCATCTGACAGCTCCTCGACTAACATGTGTAAGGAAACAAATTCCAAACGCTGAGCTAATTAGCCCAGTGCCACACTAACAACTAAGTCATACTAAAAGTGTTCATATCATACTTAAGCTAACTGGTAAACTGCAATATTGAGTACTCATATACTACATTCTCTACTCTATGGTAGACATTATGGTGCGACTGAGAGTTCTGCATCTCGGAGCTCACACACCCCTCTAGTCTATCGATGATGTTGCCCGAAATTCATACACCAGTCAACACCCTCGACTAGCTCACTCCTTGAGTGTTGGACCTTACGCCTCGCGCACTACTTAAGGATATATCTGGACCGATTCTATACTTCGACACTATAATCTTGCTGAAAGAACTCATGTGTCTTAATCGTTTCCTGAGCATCAATCAAGGCTAGTTTTATGTCGACCTAATTAATATTGTTTCTAAATGTGATTAAACATCATTAATGTTCTCACTTGTAGTCTTATTTGAAGATATACTCAAGTGTTGGGATACCTAGAGTCTAATCCCTTGAAATCATACTTTCTTGTCCAAAACAGACTGTTGGTATTGATACCCGTCCTTCAATATCGATACCCTTGACTCAGTATCGATACTCTATATAAGTATTGATACTAAAAAAGCCTACTAGAATTTCGGTCTCGAGACCAAGCTTGGGAGTCTCGAGACAATGACCCCGGTATCAATACTCTTGAATTTATGAATTTGCCCATAAATTGTTAGGATTTTCGGAAGCTCAAATCGACAACCGGAACTGTTTGCAAAGAGGGGTCGGAACGGTTTTGTGTTTAGGGAGTAAAGAGATTGAAAGATAGAGAATTGCACATCGATTTATAGTGGTTCGACTTTCTCAAACAAAGTCTACGTCCACTAGCTTAGCTCCTCACCAAGGATTTTCCAACAAATTCACTAATTTGTTCTTTCTTTTGAGGATAAAGAGTAACCTTACAAACTCCCTAGTTTTTCCGGGCTAAACTAGAACCTTTCCCTAGCTTTTACACAGGCTAAGCTAGAATATTTCCCCTTTACAAAATGATAAAAGATGTAAACAAGAAAACCTCTCTAAGGTAGGTGTTTACAAGATTGAGCTCACAAGAACAAAATATTTACAAGAGAAAGATGAAATAAGATTAAAAAACTCTTCTTTTGTGTTTGATTACTTGAATAATTGTTCTCTTGCTTCTTCAAGTGTCCTTAGCTTGTATTTATAACTTGGAATGTGTTTGAAGTCGTATATAGTCGTTGGGGATGTTTTGGAGCCATTTGGGGATGAGAAACAATTAATAAAACAACTTGGAGCGTGGGGGGAATCGGTACCCCCTCATGGGGAATCGGTTCCCTAAGTGCAATCTGTTTTTGACCGTTAGACAGGGGGGAATCGGTACCCCTGGGGGGGGAATCGGTACCCTCTGGGGGGAATCTGTACCCCCTGGACAATTTGATTTTTCTTGAAACATTTTAAAAAGAAAATATTTTTGGCTCGATTAAGGCTCGAAATACTTTGTAAAATTGTTTTAAAAATAGTTTAAGTATAAAACACAATTTTACACTTTAGTAAGGATTAAAATGCACTTTGAAAGACTTTGAGTAATATTTTGATATTCGAATAATTACATCGAATATACTTAGAAAATCTTTTGTAAAATCTTAAAATTCATTTAACTTAATTTATTATATCGAAACATCAAAATGTTTTCAACAATCTCACCCTTTTTGATATAACAAAACATTTGAGTAATTTTAAGATTTTGAAATAAAGTTTGAAATTACTCCCCCTTACTTTAACACTTCTCCCCTTTAACACCTTAACACTTATTTAACACTTCTCCCCCTTTTTGTTAAATAAAAAAGACTCTAATCTTTGAAGTTCAAAATAACGTTGGAGAGTAAGTAGTAAATTTGACATTTTAAAAATCATTTGAAAAAATCAAAGCTCCCCCTCAATAAATGTATTCCATATAAAATTTTGCTTTTAGGATCTTGACACTTAAACAAAATTGAATTTCAACAAAAAATAACAAACATGTTAGTAGCATATGAAATTCAATATATCCAAGACTAAAATACTTTATGCAATACCAATTGTTGAATTTAAGATCATATGCATAAAATTTTCTAAAAATGTTATGCATTTGAAAAATTTTGATATCAATTATTAGAGAGATATCATTTTTATTTAAACCACATGCATAAACAATCAAATTTAGGTCAAAACATTTTAAAGATTTATAAAATCAAAGTATTTGAAAAGTTGATATCAATTGTTAGAGAGATATCATTTGCATTAAAACAAATTTTGACCAAAATTTTATTATGATGAACTAAAAATTATGAAAAATCATTACAACTTTAAAATGTTCATCATAATCATCTTTTCAACATACATGAGATTAAAACAATGATGCATAATCATTTAAAACAAAAACTCATGCATGCTTAAAATCAAATGAGCAACCAAATAATCCAAAATTAAAAGTATTAAGCTTAGAGGTTACTCATTCCTTTTTCATGTGTGGCTAGAGCTTCTTGAATATCATCATTTTCATCACAATTACTTCCACACACCTACAAGAGACATTTAAGTAGATTTTGGTATCCAAATTGCTTTGGATCCTTGAACGTTAGTTACAATGCCCCTTGTTCCTTTTGGAACCCATACTTGCCTAATTTTAAAATGTTTTCCTTTCTTCAAAGGATAAGTATGTTCCATATGACCATGATAATGGCAATGTGAGCATTTTGCCATATTTAAACATAATAGGTTGTTTTTAGAAATTAATTCTTTTTTCTTTTATTAAGCTTTCAAACTTAACACCTAACTCAAAATTTTCTTTTTCTAAATAATTTATTTTGATTTTTGAAAGCTCTAAATTATTTTTCAAAATTTCATTTTGATTTTCAAAATCAACTTTTTCTTTCAAAATCAAATTATCTTTATTTTTGAGTTTTGAAATTAATTTCGTATATTTGGAATTCATGGTCTCAAATCCCAAATACAACCTATTATAAGCATATTGTAACTCATCAAAAGCAAATGAATTAAATTTATTTGAGTTAGAAGATACCTCGAATTCTTCTTGAGTGGTCATGAGGCATAGGTTGACTACTTCATCTTCATCATTGGAATCATCTTCATCACTCCAAGATGCAACAAATGCTTTCTTCCCCTTTTTCTTTAGAAGAGGACATTCATACATGACATGCCCCTTTCTTTGACAATCAAAACATACCGGGGGACTCTTCTTCTTGGTTGATTCATGTTTCACTTCCTTGGAAATCATGAATCTCGTGAGTTCCTTCAAGAGCTT